TGGATGTTATTTTATGCTCCCTAATCATTGTTGTGAGTTTCTATTAGTTTAGCCCATGTATTTAGGATAACAATTTTTACATGAAATTTTGTTGACAATGTTTTCTCTTTGTAATTTTTTAATTTTATCTTTGTCATCAATGAATAGTCAAACTATAAAATGAATGCAATTTTCATTTTCATGTTCAACCATAAACTTAATTTTCTCGTTATAATAATTGAAAGCTTCAAAAACATTGTCTAAGTCATTTTTGTTAACTATTAAGAATGTATCATATACATAACAACGTTAGAATAATATATTAAGTGAAATTAGAACTGATTGTTTTAATTATTTCATAACTATTAACAAATAGGTTAGGCCAGTGTGCAAATGCGTCTAAATGATAAAAATAAGCAGGAGACAAGCACATCATGTTCTTCAATTCAAAACAAATTTTTGACTGAACAATACAATAATCACATGATCCTAGAAATAATAGCATGAAATCAAAAAGTAGACTCATTCAAAATCTGTATAAAAGAAATACAGATACAGGATACATCAGAGGCTTTTCTATTTGTATTAACAGTAAAACAGGAGAATTACAGGATATCAACATTAAAAAATATATTCATTTTTCTCTCTTTCAAAATTATCCCATTTCAAACAAATGCAATCCATACATTTCCAAGACATGTAAAATCTTCAGATCCCACTTTATTAATCACACAATAGGTTGGTGCCAAACTATCTTTCCACTTAAACACCCAGATACTAATAAACAATTCTGGGGAGAAAACTTTGTGCAAACTACTATATCGTTATGACTAACATTTGTCGCCAATTCACGTAATGGAACAGGTGCTTTGTCTGGGTGACAAACTGAGAATTCAGAGCATTCAGGGGGAAATGCAAGCAGCCTAACACCATGACCAAAAGGAGAACAAATTAACCGCCCATCAGCAGAAAAACCTGACACCTTAATAAACCCTTCACCCACGTTTTGTTCCTCAATGTAGTGAGTTAATCTTGGAATATTCTGATGGATTCGACGATTCAATTTAGGAAAATCTGAGAAATTGAAACCCATTTTCGGGCTCTGATGAGATATACTGTTACATGCTGCTTCCGACAGATGCGACGAAAAATGTACAGAACCATTTGAAGTGCCATCCGCTCTGTTGGAACCTTCACTGGAAGGAACATTACTGTCCGGATTTCTCCTCACTGTAACACGAACACGACCTTGCATCCATTCTACTGACCCGCTTGAACTGTTGTTATTGCTATTGTTATTTCTGTTGTTACAGCTCTTGTTGCTATTAGCAATCCTGCTGCTTTCATCTGAATTTGTTTGTTCACTCTCGGTTCTGCCCAAATTACCTGGATACATTCGAATTGTCACTTTGGGTCTCGTTCTTTCTGCTCTCTGTGCTTCATATCTTTCCTGCTCTGCTCTCTCTGCAAACTTTTGTTCACGTTCTCGATGAATTCTTGCTTCCCTTATGGCCTTAAGCGCTTCCCACTCATCAACTGATGATACATTAAGTTCAACATTAGCTGAAGAATTAGCACCATGACCCACGTCCCCAACACTATTGCCATCCCTATCTTGGACACTACTGTCTCTCGACTGAGACAATGAATCCACATATGGTTCATTCTCTGATTTACTATGAGCATCAGACTCTCCCGCAGAATATTCACGTTCCTGAATGTCATGAATACAGGTCCACTAAAAAACATAAGAGAAGAAGAAGACCCAATTCAGTAAAAAAAAAAAAAAACATTTTCTTACAAGATGAATAATTTAGTTGAAAACATGATATGTAGGTATAATATCTTTGAACAAGATATTGCACACAACTCTAGAAGAAATTCAACATTTTAAAATGCATTTTTGCAGTCAGAAAGGAAAATAATGAGGATCTCTGAATACTGAAGTCAAGACAATCTATAATAACATTGTCTTTAAAATAACTTCTACAAACAAAATACAACTATATATTTTACAAATATATTTGTTTTTTAAATAGTAAAATTTTATGATTTTTTTAAATAGCGTAATTTCCTTCAAATAGTCAGTATTTGCAACATTCCAAAATCTTATTTCATATATTATTTTTTAATCGTTTACAAATATTTTGAGATATTTACAAATTCACATTTAACTAGCAACTATTCAAATATTAACATAAGAGATAATGACTGAAATACTCAACATCACATTTACAAAATAAATAAATAAATACATAAATAAATAAACCCACATTTCCCCCGTTATTCCCTGGATGATTGGACACTTCAAATAATTTTTTTGTTGCACTTCATTTTACAAAAGAATACAAAAAATGCAAGAGAATTATTATATTGGAGACAATATAGCCGTTTCCCTTCTCCTCTCAGCAGACTCGGCTGCAAAGCCATGATCACACTCCCTTCTCAACAAGCAGATGTGAAAGTTGGACTATTGGTTCTGGAATGATGAAAGGTAACTTGAGAGTGATTAGTGTGACTAGTGGGGAAACTTCACTTGCGGCCTGCACCCATCTAAATTTATTGTTCTTAGTACAGTTGTTATCAGGGCTAGCAATAGGTGTGAAGTCCGAGTGAATAGTTGACCTGGGGGGAGCTCCCCCCCCCCCCCCCCCCCCCCCCCATCCATCACCCACCTAAAATATATATGAAGGGAAATATGCAAAACAAATGTTTTCAAATTGTCGTCAAATTGTTTATCATGAAATTAACATCAAATTGTTGTCTCATTCATTTTTTCATCATGTTTATTTTATGTAACTTCACCTGAATTAATTTCTGCAATGCAAAAACAGAGCTAAGCTTTGCGTTTTTTAGATAAACTTATTTAATAATTTTCACAAATCAATTTTGTCAGTATGTTGCTAAAAAACTTGTAAAATCGCAATTCTGTTGAGTTGATCTTGGAACATAGTTGATCACGTATATGTTTTGAGTTAATTAAGTACTGAGAAACTTTATTTATTTCTGGTATTCGAATTTTATGGAATATTTCCCTCACCACAAATTTCGAATGAGTATTAAACCATTCAGAATTTTTTGTGTGGGTATAGCTTCCCACCATACCCACATTATCCGCTGTCCGCTGGGCCTGGTTGTTATGTCTGATTTGCCAACTGCACAATAATTACCCAACAACTTCACTGGCTAAATTTACTTAAAAATATTTCTATCAGTTAGTAAAAATTGTCTATACTTTTAGAAAAGTGAAAGTGTGTATAATTTGTAGGCATAAAGTACAAGTATTTAAGAGTATTTTGGTTTTTGAAAATTAAAAAAAAATATTGAAGTATTTTCACAATTGATTATTAAAGAATTTTACCCATTTATGACCTTGAAAAAAGATTGTTGAACAATTTTTCTGTTGCTTGACATCAATAGATAGTGTTAAAAAATATTAGATGAAACATTATGTACACAGTCTTAGCCTGGAATTTTTTAATCCAACAATACCGGAAAATTTATTACAATTGTAGAAAAATTGATTTATTTGCAGGTAAAAAATAACGTTTCAAAAAAATATCTATATATTTTTAAATTAATTTTTAATATAATGCTGAATCCAAAAATATAATTATTTTCAGGATTCAAAACCCTTCAATACTTTGTTGACCATCTGACAAAGAATGTCCCACATGACTTCTCTCAGACCTTATAAGAGCTATAAATTTATTTCCTCAACCATAATACTCAGCTGACAATTAAATCTCATCTAAATTAACTGAGAAGCTAATTACAGTAAAGTCAATTTTAAGCTGCACAAGAACATGATATTAGAAAGCTCAGATATTTTTCCATTCTCACTACAATTAATAATTAGTTATGTTTCATCATAATACAGATCCTAGCATCTTTAAGCATTGGAAACAAAAATATTCATAGTACATAATAACACCTAGACATTGCCAAATGTTTTGGTACAATACAAATTACAAGTGACAATAAAGACCTATGAACTCCCCTCTAATCAAAGAAATCCAAACTGGATTTTTCTTTGGAAAATAAGTCATTCCACAAATCAGTTATAATTCACACAATGCGGTGTATCTACAAATTGCAAAACCTACACTGTTAATCCAAGAGTTGATTCAGAAAGTATTTTGGGGAAGAGGGGCTTTGGAGGGGCCTGGGACTTGATCCCTTTGAATCCAACTCGGTTTTATTAAATATTTTGTAAACATGTCACTGCCTAAAATTGATTTCTACAACAGCTGGAAAAAAGCAAAGTAGCAATTTTCAAATCTACCAATACATTCCATTGAAGTTTAAATCTGGAGAAATCCTACATATCAGTACTTGCTAGAGAATACAATTAATAATGTTTGTTTGGAATGCAGCAATAAAAAAATGAAGAGGTAGAGAATAAATATTTCATCTTTGCACTCACCTCAGAACTTCCATCATTACTAATGTTACGACTCATAGCACACCATCCTTGAGGATGTATCTGAAGGTAAGAGATAACTTCTGCATCATCTCCTTTTGGAAAATCGGAAATCAGCTCAACTCTGTTAATTTTACGTTGCTGAGAGAATAAGTGAGTAAACTCTGCTGCCAATGGGATTTCTGTTTGACTTAACTGCATTAATCGGTACATATTGGGCTACAAAAAAGGCACAATTAGAATTGAAAACAAAATATGTTTGTCATGTGCTGTCAAAATATTAAACAAGTAACATTAAAATATTAAACATCTCACTTGAGAAAACCTTATCATGATGCAAATAATAGAATGATAATGTTGTAAAACATAAAAACAATTTATGCTAGATTACTTGAAAATCCCTCACACACTTAAAACTGAAATGTCATTTTAACACTCAATATGTTTCAACTTAATTCAGATTGCCATTAAGCCAACTAAACATTGTAAACGATAGCAGCAAAGAGAACTATTATTATTTATAATGCCTTCAATTTTTTCATTATATCTAACTTTCTATTCCCATGTTTTTCTATTTCTTTTCTAAAATTCAAGTTTCTGCTAACTTGTAGAAGAGAAATACGAAACCAAAAAAACTTTCATTCATAAATGTAATTTGATTTTCTCAAAAATTAACTAGTTAAATTAGAAAAGGAAGAGCTGAAAGAAATATTTCTAAAAACACATTTAATTGGTGCTGCTACATACCTTTATTGAAATTAAAAAAATATATATATTCAGCACACAACACAGAGACACTAACCTTAAATCCATTGAGATCTTGAGCAAGTGTATTCAAATTTAAGTTATGGACAATCATTAGATATCCTCCTGTGGTGCTAATTAGCATTTTTGATGCATCTGAATGAAGCCTGGTCCCCATTAAACCAATGGTTTGAAATAATCTATTGTATCCATTTTCAGAGTAACTATTAAAAAATATCAAGAATTACCTATCAATCACAGATCAAGTATATATTAAGTACTCAACAAATTAGAGAATGCAAATAAAATTTATTAACAGGAATAATATCATAGTTAATTTCACCTGTTTATATCCCAAGTTAAAATATTTCCATCAAAACCAGATGTCACAAGTAAACCATCGCGTGAGGAAAATTCAATATATTTCACCCAGTTTGAATGGCCACGTAGAGTTCGTATTTGAGACTTAAAGTTTCTGGCATCCCATAGTGCCACTGTACTATCATCACTGCATGTAGCAAAGACCTTTGAATCTAGAAACCTGAAATTTACAAAGAAGATTGTAGTGAGGATTCTGCAGTTTACAAATGTAATATCTATAATTCCAATCCAAACTAATTTTTACCGAACACAATTGACACAATCAAGGTGTGCATTATCAACAGCATGTATCAATTTCTTACAAAGAGGATCAAACATTAATATACTTTTTTTTTCACAAGCTGCCACCAGAAGTGATCTGAAAAAATAACAGCATTTCAGAACATTTCATTCAAACATTATGTCTTGGAGTTCAGCTGAATGTGTATGGGCTCAGGTGAACTTACATTAAAAGTTGCAACTTACCCATCAGGGGAGAATTCAAGGTTAAACACACCGCCATGAGTGGCATTTCTCACATTTTCTCCATGGTCCCATGAATGGCATGGCAAAATAGATGAATACAAGCCTTTGGGGAAATGGTCTGTATGTTCCAGGGAATTCAGTTCTGCCATACTTGTCAAATAGTTGTTCTATGTCTACAAAACAAGCTGAACATTTGCGTTTTCCTTCAACGCCTACGGTAATGACGTCAACGACTCAATGGACTAACTCATTTTTTTTTTTTCTATAGACAAAGCCGAAAGTCAGTGTGTTTGTTGCAGTGCACACGCTGTTGCGGTTTACAACTTCGTGTAATTTGGTAGTGCAGATTCGCGATAGACCGTAGTCATTTGCCAATTTGGAGTCTTAGTTATTCACTGTTGTGACTTCGTCGGTTTTATGAGAGTGAGTTGTGCTATGTCCTCGATATATCCGAGGGGAGAGCTTGTCTTCGTTCTAGAGTGAGGGCATGTGCAAATTGTTTAAAGGTCGCCGAACATCGTCGATTTGAAAGGCTTGGTAGGTTTCGTTGAATAATAATGTCTTAAGCCAGCACCCTCTCCTTGTGGAGAGGGTACTGCTCAAGCATGAACCGACGCCTTGGACTAGTTGAGAAAAAATGGTACTATACCTCACAGCTAGCTCATCCACAGCCGTCTCTTTCTACCATGATATACGCTCGCCATCATGGAGAGCGAGAGCGACAAATGTTGAGAAACATTTTGAAAGTGACAAATTTTCAACGGTGACTCATGGTGGAAATAATTCCACCATTCGGTGACCAACCAAAAATAACACAATAAAGGTGTAATTGAAATAAAAGCTGCAATATTTAAACAAAATGATAACTTGTAACAAGGTGATAATTTTGGTATCTGGCTGCATTTAAAATTCCTGCTAAGATTATGATGCAAACCGGTGCCTGGAGTGCATTGGCTGAAGTCGGACGCGATGCGCAGTAGCCCATGTATCTCTTTTCAACATGTCAGAAATCGGGACGCCGGAGGAATTCACTCTATATTTCCACCATGGCCTCAAGCATTGACTGAAGGACTCGAAGTCGAGTTCCTTCCTCAGTACTTTCATCCATTCCCGAAACGGAGTGAGCGCTTCGAGCCGCAGAACTCTGTTCTGAACTAGTTCAAGTGTGGTTCTTGTAATACTTCCTGTGGCCGCACCGCAAGAGGCCACCGGCAATGCCATCTAGAAAGACAAGATGGAACGCCATCTAGAAAGACAAGATGGCGTTGGCACAGGCCGGCAGAAGGTTTTATAGTGCCAGGCGACGATGAACGCAAGAGACGAACCCGCAACTGAAGTTTCGATCAGATTGCCTGGCATGTAAGTGCCAGCGCATCCTTCGATTGAAAGTGACGCCCAGGTAAGTTGCCTTGGCGTCCATTTCAGTTTTCGGTTTTCAAGTAATATTTGTTTCGACAGCGTGAACCATTTTGTGTGATTGCAGCGAGTGTAGAAGATTGCCTGAGACTTTTCCGCTGTGCAAGTAAAGTGGGTTTGTTCCGCCTTCATCAGCGTTAGGTCGCGTTTGACGTGTTTTAAGTTTGTGGTCTAGATTTATTCCTCGTGCAGCAATGTCGTCGGTATAGAGGAAGAGCGTATGCATGGTGAATGTGATATGTCACTGACATACTGCGAGAACAGCAGCGGGAGAGGACGGAGCCTTGTGGGACCCGGCCGCCATCTTTCGCTTTGAGGATCACGCTTTTGCGACATTTACCACGAATGCGCGGTTTGTGAGGAAAGACTTAACCATATCAGCCACGTCTTGTACAAGACGCCGCCGAAGTTTTGTGATAATGTGTTGTGTGACACTTTGTCAAAGGCTTGCAACATGAGATAAATGGCAGGTACACCTTGTGTAACAGATCAGCGGAAATCTACTGAATCACACAAAAAACTTGTAAAGAGATTTATATTTATTTAGTAAAAAATAAAACAATGTGACGTATGGGGGAGAAGATTCTTTGCGCACTTTTTTTGAGTTACAGAATTCCTTTCTTGGGGTCCCTATTTTAACTACAAATAGTTAAAAGTTGAGAACAGTTTTAAAAAATTTAAAAACGTAAAAAAACGCGAGTTTAGCAACGTTTGAAAAACTAAACATTTTCGTTCCCGAGATATAGAAAACTTATTTGCAACGATAAACGAAATGTGGATTTGATTTTTCTGCATTGCTAACAAAATAGCAACTCGCTCTTGCCTCTACTCCTACCACTACATGCAAATAGAGAATTCAACAAAACGTGCGCATGGTGAAGCTATATTTATGTCCAGAAGCAAAACACGGGTCCATCTCAGCATTTTCTCAATGCATTAGGGACTCTGGACAAAAACCTGATCGAGATGGGGGTCATTGACCCGGAAGCTGAAGTACATTATTTGTTACAAGCTTATTAAGTCTTTTAAAAAATATATAATACAAACGTTAACTAATTCATTACATTCAAACATTACATTGATTTTAAAAATACACATTATTTTTCTTTTTGATGATCAGTATAGTCTCTAACTGTATAGAAACAGTTATGCAGCAGGAAAGATTTTACTTTTAACTTAAATTTGTGTACCGACTTCAATTGTTTAATGTCATCTGGCAATACGTTGTAAAGTAACGTACATATAGTGTAAGTGGATTTCAGGTAGTAAGCTGTTGATAGTAAGCTTTTGACAAATATTACGGATTCGTAAATAAATAGGCAAGATTAAACAATGGTAAGATTCTAAACTCAATAAAAAGAGGCTTGCAAGGATCACGGGGAAGGCATTTTTTCATTATTCGAATAATTTTCTTTTGAATCTAACGATCTGGGCACTACATGATGAGCTTCCCCACAATATTGGCGAGAACGTATCTGTAAGTGGAATAGAACTATTTGTCTCGGATGAGGTTTCGTGAGAGAACAGTTGACAGGATTCGCGGGAGGAGAAGCCTTTCAAATACTTTTCCCAACTGGGAGAAGGATGTTTGGCCAGTGGCTCCCCGCCTTTGTGAGATCCTTACTGGGTTTCGGAAGCATGGGAATACCTCCGTATTTCCAGTAGTAGTAGTAGTTGTTGTTGTGGTTGTTGTTGTTTTTTTCTCGAAAAATACCACTGTGTAATGTAGTTGTAGATCCCCTTAAGCTCCGTACTTATGACGGATAGGGACTTCTTTAGGACGGGAGGGCCTATTCCAGTGATATAGCGGCAATGGATGCGTGTGGTGCATGGCATTTCTTCGTTATTCGGTTGGTTTTATGATTTATAATATTTACAGTATGTTTTACACTCCAACACAAAAGACGATCAAGAAAGCTCCAAAGCGAAGTAGTAGAAAATGCAATGGAGGAGCTAGAAGTAGCAAATGAATCTACCTTTATCAACCAATGTGTACAAGCGTATTATACCAAAAGAGTACATTCTCTTCACGCATACAATTCTTCAACAAATTACCAATACATCTGAGAAACACGACAGGCTTGTACAATTTCAAGAAAGAACTCAAACACTTCCTTGGGGAAAAACTTTTTTATAGCATTCAGGAATACCTCAATGACTAACACGTGCAATGTGATTTCAGGTGCTGCAGTAGGACTCGGTGAAGAAATAGGAAAAAAATCTGGCCATAACCTGCCTCCTCCTCATTTCAAGATTTAATCAAGGAATATGCTAATACTGTTAAATCATATGTAGTTGTTACCATAATTGTTATCACGTACTATTGGTATTATTATTTTATAAGTAATGTTATCTGTTACATTATTATTATATACAAAACCAAAAGGGAAATTCGCACAGAAATTGTTCGATGCAGAATGTTATGTGGGATGAAAAAAGTACTGAACGCACTGGATCTTCTCCGCGGCGGGAAGTTTGAAATGTACGATCTTTCCTTCTAAAATGCCTTCAAAGAGCAACGAAACTGAGCTGTTCGAAGCGTGGCGCCAAATTTGAATTAGTTTGGCGGCCAATTGCCAACACCAAGTATAAATATAGATAATTTAAATTGTGTAGAGTTATATTCATTATTTTATTTTCATCTATATTATTCCATTAATAGCTTTGTACAAAAACAAAAGTGTCCAACTTTCCGTCTTGGTTCAGTAGGGAGCTCAGAGCCTGGGCTTTCCTCAAAAAGGAAGCCCATAAACAGTAAAAGAAATCTAACTTCCATGTATATTACTCGCTTTTCTCAGACTTGAGACGTAGATGCAAGGAATTGGCGAAAAGAGATTTTGCGAACTACAATAAAAATCTACAGAATTCAGAACGTTATGTCCCAAAAACGTTTGGAAATATATACATTCTAAAAAGTGTACAAATACTCTACCACAAACAATGATCTATAATTTACACACATTAGCAGATACAAAGTTAATTGTTAATGTAACCATTTCTTAACTTTATACAGTCATCTGACAAATAATTTATCGTTACACATATGTACACCTTTTCACCTAACTACTGTAGAAAAATCTATTTCCGACATTTTTACTAAAATCAACAAACTATAAAAAGACACAGGTAGTGAAGGACCCAATGAAGTATTTTCTCACAAAAAATTTGAAGATTCGTTTTGATAAATCATTATCAAAAGGATCCTTTCCCGCAGTATGGAAATCCTCCTTCATTACACCAATCTTCAAGTCGGAAAGAAGAAGAAGAAGAAAAAAAAAGATAATTTACTATCGTCTTACATCAATTTTAAGCATAACACCCAAGTTATTTGAATCGATAGTCACCGATAAGTTGAAAATTACTCGAATAATGAACAAATGCCATCCGCGTTACCCTTGCAAGCATCTCTTCATTTAGCTTGGAATCTTACCACTGCCTTGCCTGTATATTTACGAATCTGTAATATTTGACAAACGTGACTTGCTTAACGGTGGGAACATATTTTCATGCAATACTGATATTTATAATCACAACAAACGTCGTAAAAATCACGTTCATCAAGAGTCAGTATCAACAGCTCACTATCAGAAATCCACAAACAATACATGTACGTTACTTTACAACGCACTGCCAGATGTCGGTTCACAAATTTAAGTTAAAAGTAAAATCTTTTCTGCTGCAGAACTGTTCCCATACAATTAGAGACTATACTTATTATCAAAAAGTAAAATTAATTTTTATTTCAACAAAACAGTGATATACAATGAATTAGTTTACATTTGTATTCTATAATTTTTTTAGAGACTTAATATGTTTGTAACAAATAATGTACTTCAGTTTCCGGGTCAATGACCCCCATCAGGTTTTTGTCCAGTTTCCCTGAACCATTGAGCAAATGCTGAGATGGCCCCTTGTTTTGCTTCTGGACGTAAATGTAGCTTCACTATGCGCACGT